ACTGCATTTACTCTCCACATCACTCAACTGACCTGTGTGGAGCTACACGCTGACCACGGTGATGCGCCATAAATGAGCAAGATGTGGACCCACTGTAACTTACTGCGCATGCCTGTGCTCGCACACTGACTCAGGTTGCTAGAGACAGGGATCAGCCGCCCTGTGTCCCCTGCGCTAGTGGTGCTCAGCTAAATAAGGCAGGCTGATGATGAGGGCAGGAGGGGAGTGGCCTGAGGCCTGAAGCAGGCGAGGCCTCATTGCGCCACTCACGGCACCCCCACATACCTCCTTGCTCAGGTCGGGGGTCTCTCAGACCTTCAAGGCCTCCTCCTCCCTGCCCCAGGCCCCGGGATGGAACGAAGCCTCCAAACACCTTCTCCTGCAGACTGCCTTTCACATGTGGTCTGTCCTAATCTTCCTTGAAAAACAGTAAGTCTCCTCAGAAGAGGCGCGGGGCTCATCTCCTGCCCATGCCCCGCCAATGCCCACCTCCATGTGCCTCTCTGGTGCCACACTGTAACCCTACGAGCTACCCCGCACCTCTTCCCCGAAACACCATGGAAGTTCCACTGGTGGGAACCTACCCACGCCCAATCGTAGGCTCCCACCCACGCTTCTCCTCAAGCTGTCCCTGCCTGTTCCAAGCGACGGGAGCTGTCTACAAAACTATTCATCTGAATAGTGTCTGTGTATCAGGTGCTGGAGCCGTTCAAGGTACAACAGTCACACAGTGAGCAAGACAGAGAAGGCGCCCGCCACCAGGAGGCATGTCCCACGCGTAAACAAGCAAACAAACCAACCTCCATGTTCAGAGTGTCAAGGAATGTAGGCAACGGTGCTGGGAAGTCCCAGGTCCTCTGTCTGAGAGCCCTCCCGGGCACGGTGGCTCGCTGGCAGCTTTCTCCAAGTGCAGCTAAAGCCATAGGCGTGGTCACTGAGGGGCCTGAGGACAGCCGTCCTGTGAGTGCAAACCAGATGGAAGGAGCACGAGAGGGGACAGGAAACCCAGGTGAGCGGGGACTGAGAAAGCACCTCCAGAGGACAGTGGCTTAGGCTGTCACAGGGGCAGTGGGATGGAGAGAAATGGCCAGGTTCTGGGTCCTGCTCAGGACGCAGAGACAGGACTTGCAGCTGGACATGGCACAGTGGACCTGGAGGGGCTGGTCAGCCTCTGGGCTTTGCTTGAGTAAGTGCTGAGTGGGAGGTGGCCAGGGAGGAGGAGACCTGGGCTGGGCAGGAGAGGAGCGGCAGTCACCTGCGCCCTGGGGCACTGGCCCCCGGGGCTTCTTCAGCATCCGCCTGTCACGGTGCCCTCTGGGACTTTATGCTGAACACTGTCATTTAACTCTCCACCATGAGGACTCACACCCCCTCTCCAAGTGCAAACTCCCCCTAGTCCCTCAGATAACTTCCACGCCTGGCACGACGGTGGGTTCACTTCGTCTTTATTCTCACGCAGGTCCCAATGGTCACAGAGAAGAAGCAGTCTCCTGGGACGCCCGCTTGCTGGGTCACTCAGACACATGTGCGGGCCAGCCAGGGCCGGGGGAGCTCTAGGCTGTACCCTGACACCACTGTTTCGGACATTGATCCCACAGACTGTGTCTGTGCTATTAATTTGCCATGTGCAGATAAACTTAGTCTGAAACAACTACAAAYTCCGTAGCAGGATCTTTGCTGTGGTTTCCTCATGAAGGCTTTAGTAAGCAAATTAATAATAGAGCAACCAAAAATATGTCCTAGGATAGAACTATTTTCAACATAATTTTTTGTGTGTGCAATGGTAACTGATTGTTTTGTGGTGTGAGATTCTCTAGATCAAAATGTAAGCACTACTCTTCATTTAGCTGCACGGAGACACACTGAGAAAAGCTGTGACATTATTAATCACCATCCTGGGTGTGATTGACAGGCTTTTGTGCGGGGAGGAAGAAGTGCCTCAGATGCAATCTGTCCCAACAGCTCTGTGATATGCTAACATTTCCTTCAGCTGGGAGAGGAGATGTGTCCAAATACCTGCTGCAACAGGTAAGTCATACCCGTGCGCCGGTGCAGAGCGGAGGAAACTCCAGGCAACCAAAGGCCTGGAGGTGGCTGGGTCTGGCCTGGCCTTTTGATCAGGCAAAGGCCGCCTTCCAATATTCCTGAACTCAGATGTGGCGTTGCCACGTTAGGTATGTTTAAGAAAGGGTGGTATTCTAACAACTGTTTCTCTGTTTCCTCTCAGTAATTTTTTAGATTTCTTCTTTTAAAGGACGTCCCCCTGCCTCAGACAATGAACCCATTACTTCTGTCCCTTCTCCATGAGGCCATTACAGAGCAAGCAAGCGACTTAGCACCTATAATCTTTTACTCTCTGCTTCTGACATGGCTAAGGCTGCATCTATTAGACTCCAAGGCACCACAGCAATCCCAGGAAACCTGAGCGGACGGCTCGGTGTCCGACAGGCGCTAGCCACAGCTGGCTGGGTGGACCACGTGTTCCCCCACCCGACACCCGAGCCTTCCACTTCTTTCCTTTTGAGTCCCCAGACCTGGAGGTGACTGTGGGAGAGCTCACAGCCTGGGCTCTGCTTGTTCTTACGCTTCTTTAACTCAACTGTACATTCCTGAAGTCCAGCCCTCAACTGAGAATAGTGCTCTGTGTGCAGCAGGGGGAAGGGACGGGCCGTGACCTTTACAACGCAGAGTGTCTTCATGGGTCACCGGGCTCCCTTTCCCCACAGTCCCTGCATATGGCCTGCCATCAGCACCCAGGAGGGTGGGCTCCCTTCCTTCACTTCCGCCTTCCCGGGTGTGGGGGCGTCGGTGACACAACAGTCGGCCTGGCAACGCGCTGGAGCCTGGCTTCCGTCGTCCCTTGGTTCCCTGGCAGATTCCTCACCTCGGGGATGTGAACAGTGAAGTCCAAAGTACCACACTGGCCACCACCCCAGGATGGAGCTGGGGCTCCTCAGAGCAGACTGGCCCCAAAGCCACACAGCACAGACACTGACGGTGGAGACAGGCGTGGAGGCCATGCACCCTGCGGGAGGGGGTGAGGTGCAGGAAGCCAAGGGTCACCTGGGCCAGGGGCCTTGGTGTGAACACACGCAGGAGCACTGGGAGGAGGGGGCGAGAAGCCAGCTGCCAGACCTCGCTGTCCACACAAGAGCACTCGGGAAGCATGAGGAGGGGCTGTGAACTTGGGGTCCTACCTCAGGCGACTTGGTGGCCCAAGATTAGTCCCCACGAGCATTCACAGGTCTGGCACCCCAGATGCAGAGAGCCCCGTGGATGGACAGCTGAAGTAACAAACGTCCTTTTACCCCCAAAGCGACCGGCAGCCATCCCTGACGGCAGAGAAGTGGACAGCGCCACCGTCCTCCTGGGTCTTCCTGGCTCCAGCAGGAGCGTGTGGCCGCTGAGGCTCGGCGTGTGACCTGGACGCAGGCGGACACCCAGGTGCACGTGTGGCTGCTATGGGCGCTGGGCGGTTCTGCCCCTACTTCCCAGGAAGCTGGACTCCAAGCAGGACGATGGCGGGCGGCACTTCCCCAGGGTCCGGGTGCTCATTACTGGGTGTGTTACACCACAACAGCCCTCCGGGGTGGGCACTGACACTCAGGAAATCCAAGACAAGGGCTTGGCTAAGACCGCCGGCCAGAAGATGGCAGAGCCCAAGAGGGACCAGGTCTGCCTGTGTCCTGAGCTCAGTCGGGCTGGTCCCACCCGCCTGCCCAGAGCCAGCCGTGGGCAGAGCCCATTAGAAAGCAGGACAGAGGACGGCTCTGCCCCGGGCTGTGTGCTCTCTCTCTAGTCCTCCCGCAGCCCCTCACTGCGCAGGAAGTGGGCCTGGACCCGCATTGGTTTAGATTCACTCTTCCTCTCGGGAAGAACTTCTACGGAATAGAAAGGGGATTAAAGAAAGGTCTGGAGGGCAAGATGGTCAGCACAGCCCAGTGACTGACACTCCTGGCCCTGTCCATTTGCTCCACGCAGTGCCACCCCCGTCACGGACCCACAACAATATCTGTGCTGCTCTGGTGACCGTCCAGGAGTATTTCATGATTAACACAGTTTACTTAGAGACAAAGAAAAGACTATACCAAAAATACCAACCCTGTTACGCGTTTCTTACAGAATGATCAACGGGCCTCAGAGAAGAGCATGGTTCTGCCAGGGTTCCGACGACCAACTGTATGCCGACATAATGAAGCAGGTTTTTAGGAACACATAATGCTATGAAATTATCACATTCAGATGAATTGTCTGGTGGTACTGTCCCAGCCAGGGAGCTTGAAGCAAACATTTTGTGGATCTCTGGTTATTTTTGATTTTGAAATGTATGAAAGTCTCGGAAGAGTTCAAAAAAGAAAGAAAATTTGTCACATTTCAAACCAACATATTGCATCAAGTAAATTAAACCACGATTCTCAAACTGCTCGTCTAACTGACAGCTCAAATGTATTTTAAAAAGGCGTCCGATTCCAAGCCCTGCTGACATTACCATCTCCTCCCCTCTCTCTCTGGGCTCAGTGAAACCCAACCACAATCAGCAAATAGGAGGGAAGCCACATGCTGTCCCCCAACACGCCACAACTCTTGTGGCTAAATCACTCAATACTTCATACATAGCACTTGGAGTTTGGTTATTTTTACCCTGCCACTCTTGATTGGCATCTACTGCCAAAAAGCAGTCGTTTTCTCTGTCTAAAGAAAAACCTGCTCAGTTTTACACAAAAACAGAAAAGGCAGCTCTACTCATAAAAATCCAAAGTTAATACAAAAATAATTAATATTCCAGGACTTCTGCTGGTGTCACTCATGGAGGAGATGCTATTGAGGCAAGCAAAGTCGCAGAACGCAAGCTTTCACGTCGCTCTTCTAAGATCTAGTCAGTCAGGCGGCTTTGATGTGTGAACCCGATGACAGACAGGCTGCGGCTCACCCACCACCCACCGTGGCTAACAGCTGCTGCCGACTAGGGCTGGGGACGCCTTCTAGAAGATCCCCGTTACCTTTTCTGCGACTTGGACTTCAAGATCTTTTAGTGTCCGGTAGCAATTTGCTTCACTCACACCTCCCCTTCAAGATAAAGACAAAAAAAAAAAATCTTTGTTAAATATGTTTTGACCAAACAAATGCTTACACAGGACCTGCAGAGATCAAGACGCTGTTTTAAAGCGCTAGGTATTTCTTGCGTGTTGCCACCTGCAGGGGTGTGAACTCGGCAGCGTCGGCTTCCCTGTGCCGCAGCCTCATCTGTAAAGGAGAGCCGGGCCTGCTGCTCAGGGGTGGGGACAAAGCCATCATAGATGACGCCTAATGGACACTTATGTGTGCCAAGCCACATCTCATTTTACYCTGACGACGGCTCTCTGGGTCGGGGACCTTTAGCACCCTGACTTTACAGACCAAGACACAGCTGACATGTGGGCACCAGAGGCACCCTGTGCAGACCCCCTCCTGCCCCTCTGCTGCAGCACTTGGTCCTGGCCACACGGGGCTCCTGCCCATTCTGCGCACCATGGCCACTCTGTGAAGGGCTTTAGGGCGACGTGTGCCACACAGCCCTCCAGCTCCTGTTAACCTGCACCTGTGTGTTTTCCAGGTAGCCACGGCCACCCAGAGCCCTCTCTGGACAGACAGAGGCTGGGGACGGAGTGGAGGGAGCACTCAGGCTCCTGCCCCTCACAGGGTTTGCCCTGTGCCTCCCACACACTGGGTCCAGGCAGAGCTGGTGAGCAGGACACCCTCCCTTCTGGTGACAGCAACCGAGGGGAAATAACCAATAACAAATAAACAGCTGAACTAATGGTGGGTGTCACTAAGAAAATAAAGGTGGCGGGACAAACTGGAGATGGGGAAGATGGCACGGCCCTTGGATGAGCGGGCAGCAGCAGGTCTCTACAAGCTGAGTGGCGATGCTGCTGCCCAGGCAAAGCAAAGGGAGACATAGCCAGCACGGAGCCCCGGGGCAGGCACCAGGCCGGCCAGCCCAGCAGTGAGGCCAAGGAGGCCAGAGCTGATGGGCAGGGCAGAGAGGTGGAGGCTGATTCAGAGGCAGACGCTGCCAGAAAGGGTCTAGTAAGGAATCTGGACTTCAAGCCGAGGACAAAGGGAAGCCACTGGAGCATTGAAGCAGAAATCAACCTCATCTCCAGAGGAGGAAAGCCAAGTTGGAGGTTCAGCTCTGTGCCCAAGCTACAGACAGGACTGGTCAGTGATCCAAGTCTGATGATACTGTCACAGGGAACGGGAACGCTTTAATCCTGTTTTAATGATGAATCAATAAAGAGGAAACACCGTAACACGTTTAAGAGCTAAAGAGTAAACAAACGCAGTGCACCCACCATCCAGCTGAGGAAGTGGACAGACGCAGGCCGCAGCCCAGTCCCTGGCCCAGGCTGGGCCAGGCCCCATGCAGGCCGACTGCTCCCCTGCTGCCGTGGCTGCTCTCCCTCACGGCTGTTCCCTGCCTGTGCCTGCCCCAGCGACTGTCCCAGGCTGTGCTTCAGGAGAACCCGACCAGCCGCCGTCCGGGCCGCATGTGACTTACTGACACTGGTTTTCTGTAGGTTGGTACTGAATGATGCGTTTTTAATGCTTTCACTTTTTGACTTCTATATGCTAATGTGTAGGTTTTTCTCTTACTGAATTTTTCTGTTTGTTACTTCACAAATGATCTTTGTCTTTTAAGCAGAGCATTTACTATAATTAAGTGTTTGAATACTCAAACCTATTTTCCTGAAATTAATTACCCCTTTCTTTTGTTCTGCCTTTGTAGTATCACTTTTCCCTCTTTCTTTCTTTCCTTTTTATCCTTTTATTAATGTATCTTTACTTTTGAAAAAGCCAGTAGTTGAAATTTTAAATAGTTTAATAGTCTCTGTCTTTTTTAATTATTTAATCCTTTTATATTTAATGCAATTATATAATGTGCATATGGTGTAGGTCTGTAAATTTTCTTTGTGTGCTTTATCTACCCTACCTGGTCTAGGTTATTCTTTCTTTTCTTGCCTTTTTTTTAGATTGATTTTTTAATCAGTTCATTTTGTTCCCTCTAACTACTGGGGAATTTTACATTTTGTTTCTACTCTTTGGAAGTCATCCTAAAAATCACAATGTGCATATGTAACATTTCTATATGTAATCAATATTCCAATTTTCCTGTCAGCTAATAAATGGAATTTAGAAGACCTTAACTCAGTTTGTCTACTCTGAGCTTACTGTTGTCAGGTATTTTCATTCTGGACATTTTAACACACACCGAAAGTTCATGCCACTGTATACAGCCAATAATCATTTATATTCACCCCTAGGAAACCACATTCTTTGCTCTTTACTCCTAAAATCTCAGACCTTCCATCTGAGATCATTTTCCTTTCACCTCACCACCTCTCTTAGTTAAGATCTGCAGGAGATTAACTTTCTCAATTTTTGTCTTAAAATCCATTTAACTCTCAAACTTTATTTCTTTAAATATTTCTTGCTGACTTTTCTCAAGTCTCTAATCTCCATAAATTCAAAACAAGCCATCCATATTGAGTCGACCCTTAGTGGCACCAAATCCAAGGTGCCACCCAGCCGGCTCCCGTTGTTCTCCTGGAGGCCCTTCTGGTATGTTCTTCTGGTAGTCTCCCCAGCTCTTCTTTGTAGCAACAGCCTTTTCCTCTGCAAACCCTCCTTCTTGATAAAAGGGCTTCTTCTCTGCCCAGGCCACCTGCCCAGACTCAGCTCACGCAGGCTCGTTTCAAGCTCTGCCGCTGCAGTCTCCTTTGACACTGGCATCTCCGTGGCTGGCCTAGCAGAGAATCGCTGCCCTGCGTGTCTGTGTGGGGGAGTTGAGTTTCAGGACAATTATCCGATTCTTCAGCAAGTTCTGTGGGACACTGTGGTGGGTCTTCTCACGCAGCACTTAGAAAGCCTCCTAAGACGTTTAAGATCTGTACTGACTGTGTCACACATGGAAGACGTTAGTCATTCTTGGTGGCATTAGCGTGCCAAGTGCCCCATGGGTAATTTAGTACGCGGAGGTCACCCTCTTCATCCCCTTTGGAAAAATGTTCTACGTGTCCATCAGAAGCGGATCCCAAAGGACACCTCAAAGGATGAATTTGCTCTTTCAGCAGATGAGGTCTTGGGTGTTTCTGAAGCAGGGTTGATGATTCTGCCGTTGTCACCGGCAGCACAGGCTCCTGTGTATGGGACACAATAACAGTCCCACATTTGCTCTCACACACTCAGGGGCATAAGCTTTTTAAAAAATATCACTCCAGGTCAAAAACATTTTTAGAAGCAAAATGCCCGAATCTTCATGTTGCTTCTAACTCAGTCCACCGCCACCTACTCAGGGGTTTCCTCAGTATGGTGACTGTCACACACGGCCAGTTCTGGAAAGGCTGAGGTGGCCAGAGCAGAAGAGATGGCTTACCACCTGTGGGTGCTGTTCATTGTTTGCTGCCAACCACATCAAGTCTTGGCCAGTATAAAAGATGACCTCCGCAGCCATCCAGAGGGAAGTGCTGTGACCAGAGTAAGTCCCACACCACTGGGGCAGGGAATCTGAGCTGCAAGTCTGTGGAGTGTCCCGGAATTCAGCCCCTGTCTAGTGACTTCATGATTGGTGACTGAAGAGGCTGCTCCTTATATTTATACACTTGGCATGAAGAAATCATACAAGATCTGGTGGAAACGACCTGGTTTGAACACAGTAGGCAAAGGTGTCAGATGCTTCTATCTTTCCCAAGCACCGATGCTTCTTCACTTACAATGCAGTTATGTCCCATTAAATAGGCTGAAATAGCCTGAGTCAAAAAATAAAAAATCATTTAATACAGTGCGCCTGACTTACCTGAAACCCGCTCTGGCAGAGTATGAACTTCACCCTGTGATCATGGGCTGACTGCAGCCGAGGCTCCCCATGCCCAGCATGGTAAGAGAGCACAGTACTGCATATGTCTGGCCCAGGGGAAAACGAGGATTCCAAATGTGAAATGTGACTTCCACTGAACGTGTTCATACAGTTGAAAAGTCATAGGTCAAACCATCCTAAGTCAGGAACTGTCTGCCTCTGATCTCAGGAGATGAGCATACACTGTGGCAAGAAAAGGAGAGGGTCCCAGGGATCCCCCAGGAAAAACTTATTTTATTCTTACAAAGATAGTAGAGAATTTTGGATGGCAAACCTTTTATTCCAGCAGGTGAGAGACACCTTTCCACTGCCTCACAGCTCTCCCTGCCACCACCGAGGAGTCAGCTCAGACATCACTCCTCTGAAGTCACTTTAGCTTCTCTTCTCGCCGCCTTTGTCATTTTCCTCTGATGTTCTCAGTCTCATCATGATATATCTGGCTGGGCATTTATTTATCTGACTTGAGAGACTCCGTCACTATTTTTCAAATATAATCCCTGCCTTCTTTCTTTCTCTTTTATTGCTGTGGTTAGAATGTCCCTCCAAATCCAGGTGTTGCAATACGGATATGAAGAAGCAGGCCTGTAAGAGGCCATCAGGCCACGAGGGCTCCTCCCTTGTGAAAGGGTTTAGGTGCCCTTAAGGAGCTTCATCAGGGAAGTTGGTCCTCGATTTCCCTTCTGCCTTCCTCCATGTGAGGATGGAACTGGTGCCTTTATCTTGGACTTGCTGGCCTCCAGAATTAGGAGAAATAAGTTTCTTCTAAATTACCTGATCTTGGGTATTCTGTGATAGAAGAACAAATCAGACGAAGACTGATATCTTTCTGGAAATCCAATTAGAAGTATATTAGGACTCCTCCTGTCTTCCATGTCCCTTATGGTGAAGGTTCAGGGAGTCATATTTTGTATCTCTTTATCGTTCTGTGGTGCACGCTGGATAATTTCTTCAGATTATCTTCCACTCCACAGATCCTCTTTTCAGCGTGTTTGAACCCACTATTTTCACTTACCCACTGAATTTTATATCTGTAATTATATTTTCATTATCAGAAGTTCAATTTTGTATCTCTTTACATCTTTGTTTTATTGCTTCTTCTTCACATTTTGAATTCATTCTTTCATTTCTTTAAACACATGAAAACTCTAGTTTCAGGTGCTGGGGACATAGCTCAGTTGGTGGAGCGCTTGTCCTGCATGAACAAGGCCCTGGGTTTGAGCCCCAGCACTCATAAAAAAGAAAAAAAAAACTATAGTTTTAGATTAGGTATCTGACAGTTCCCATGGTTGAAGAGCCTGGAGATCTCATTCCCCTGGTGACTTTATCTCCTGGTCCCGTCCTCATTCCTCGTCTCTGTGTGTCTCTCAGCTCTTTTGTGTGCTCTCTTGTTACCTGGCACTTTTCAGAAACTCTTCGGGAGCTGGGTTGAAGATACATTCTTCTGCGTACGCAGTGTATCATCACTTCTAAATGAACTTCTAGCCTTGAACTTTTCAAACCGCACAGGTGACATTAATTGAAACACAGATGTGCACGAAACCCAATTATAACCACGACTTCTTCCCTTCTCACTCCATACTGTGTTGGAGCAGGTAGGTTCAGCTGTTGCACCTGGTTTCCATGTTATGGTTATCTGTGCACAGGGTGCAGACGGCCCAGCTTCAGGTGGAGGGTTCCTGTGTTAGACCCCTCCACCCGGGGCAGCCCCGGCCTCTTGTTTCCTTCACTTCAAGTGGCCAACAAAACGGAACACGTGAATTCGTCATGATTTGGACAAAACCCTCAGTGCAGAAGCCGGCTTCCCAGGGTGCTCCCTTCTTTGGATCACAAATTGCATTTCATTTTGGCCTCTGAGGAGTCTTGACTTTCTTGTTGGCTCAGTTACTTATTAAAATGTATGTATGTTCATTAAAATGTATGAATCCTAATTGTTTTCAGTGGAAATGCTGTTCCTGGTAGAAGCCACCATGTTACTAGAAAGAGCAGTCTCTGTTCACTGTGTTGTACCGCTTCCAACATGTAGAGAATTAAACTTCATGGTAAGTCAGAAGTCTTCAAACTTAGTTTAATATTTGGCCTTTTATGTTTAAGAAAGTAACTCATGATACTTTTCAACTCAATTCAATTACTTGGCTAAGGAAAAAATAAGGAAAAGAAGAAAAAAAAAGGAAAACAAAAACCAAAAAACCTCTCCTGCTTAGAGTTCTTCCAGATGTTTGGCTTTTCCAACAAGGACTATTCAGATTAGATTACAGTCCACACAACAATCTCACCCCACAAATGGGGATGGCTTTAGGTCAGGCATGAACATGTAGTCTACAAAACAACCAGTCATTCTTTTGGGCAAAACTGGAAATTATCTTAGTTTCCCACTTACTGAGAATTAACTAAACATTCAAGTCATGGGATATGCCTTAGTCTATTTTCTGTTGCTATAACAGAATACCTGAGACTGAAAAATTTATAAAGAAAAGAGGTTTATTTTGGCTCCCTGTTCTAGCAACTGCAAAGTCCAAGAGGGCCTTTAAATTTTGATCCTCTAGGGAGGGCTTCGTGTTGCTTCGACTCATGGTAGAAAGCGGAAGATCAGGCGGTACATGCAGAGGAGAGAGCCCAGGGTGTCCTTGCTTTAAAACAGCTGTTCTTGGTGGTAACTAACCTAGCCTCATGTGAGCAAGAGTAAGAACTCACCGGAGAAAAGCTTTATCCTTTCATAGGGTTCTGCCCCCGTGCCCCAAACACCTTCCATCAGGCCCCCCCAACACCGCTGCATTGAGGAATACAGAGTTCCAACACACCAACTTTGGGGGGACACCCTGAAACCACCGCAGAGAGGGTGATACTTAATCACCCTAACTATCRCCACTGCACCGGCTTTTGTAAAAATTGTGATTTTAAAAAACACATAACAAAATTCACCATCTTAACCATTTTAAGTGCATGATTCAGTGGATTAAGTTGCCGCAGTCTGGCTGGGCACAATTCAGGAGTTAGTTTCAAAAGAAACTAACTTTATTTTTAGAACCACACACGCCAAACAAAACAGCTCCTCAGGAAAAACCCTCAGAGCCCAACTGCCACCAYTGGCTTCCCACAAGCCTCTCACCCCAACCCCAGCCTCTCTACCTCCCACAATCCTCCTGCTCTTGAGGCCGATTGGCTGGGTCGCGTGGGCGGAGCCAAAAAAAGTCCCCCAATGAGCAGCTCCGTGGTCTGAAAGGGCAGGGAAACAGCCCAATGAGCATCACAGCAGAGGAGCCAATCAGCTGGAAGTTGCTGGCTGTGAGCCAATCATCAGCTGGCAGCTGGAAGTTTGCTGGGGCCCCTTGGGCTGTGGCTCTCAACATGAAGTACTCTACATTGTTGTGCCAGAGATCTCTGAACCTTCTCATCTGCTAAACTGGAGCTCTGTATTCACGGAGCCCCCTCCAGCCTCCCTCCCCTGCGGCACCGGTTCTCCCCCTCAGCTGCACCGAGGATGGACCCAACCGTGAAGGTCCACAGGCCACACGAAGCCTGCTGACAGCTCAGGGCCAGACTCACTTCTTAGGATTGTTCACACGACTCCTGAGAAAAACGAGGCTCATTCCTTCAGAAGACGGTTAGTGACTGTGTTCACTAAAACAATATTTCCTGAAGCAAACCCAGGTGCAGAGAGACCTCTGGCTGACGGGGACCTTCAGGGCGCACTCCGGCCCTCACTCTGCAAATGGAGCCCACGAGCCCTGCTCCCAGGAGAGCTGTGAAGCCTGGAAGCGGCTCACACGTATCTTCATTTCATCTCCCTCTGCAGCCGCCAAAACGTGATCACTTTCAACAACCAGCAAATATTTGGCATCGTAATATTTTACTTCGAAATTAAAATCGTTACTTTTTTATTTAAACATTTTTAGTCGTCAATGGAACTTTATTTTATTTATTTACATGTGGTGCTGAGAATCGAACCCAGGGCCTCACACATGCTAGGCAAGCGCTCTACCACTGAGCCCCAGCCCCAATCTAAAATCATCATTTTCAAATCTAAATTACACTGTGTGCAAAAGTATGACCTGATTTTAATTTTCTGTTCACATTTCGTTACGGTACCATTGCTCCAACTCTGAAACCCCTCCTGCATACAGTTAGAGTCTTCTCTAAAGGAAGCCTCAATGTGGCTTTGTTCTGTTGAATTCTCTGTGGGCGAGCTCTGCCCACCCGTCCTCTGCATGGACATGGTCATCTGTGGCTGTGACTGGCTCTCGTGGCCTGTGTCATGGCTCTTACTCACCACTGCAAGTCTCACATCTTCACGTGAGTTACAGAATCCTTACCTCTTTATGGTGTTTATGTTCAGGTCAATCCCACCAAACCTGGAGAGGAATTCAAGGTACGGTACATTGCCAGAGCCAGTGACAGGGACCTACACGAAAAAAGGACAAGGACAGCAGGTTAGAGGAGAGAGGCCCAGGCAGAGGACAGCAACAGTGTCTAAACACCGCCTTCCTGACATCACAGTGAGTGCCATTAACGAGTGGCACCCTGCTTAGCATTCTGATGGCTCACTCAGGTGCCAAGCTGACAGCGTTCTTGGAAAACCAAGGAATGCCAGTCTGTGTTAGCTAAAAGTCAGCAAGTCATCCACACAGTTACCTAAAGTCCAAATCTGGCTAAGCCAAGTCTAGCTTAAAGTAAAATTATCATGGGGTTATATTCCATGCTTCTAGGATTATGTCAAGATGAACCTCAACATTACATATATGTAACTATAATGCAGTAATAAAATAAATAAAAAGAAATTAGCAGAAATATATCCTAACATGAGATATACAGAAGCTGAGGTGAGTACAACACTCAATACTCGGAGGGTCATGTGACTATTCTGTAAGTCGTGTTAAGGTACAAAATGCCATTTTTAAGTTAAAAAGTCCATCGAGAACACTATGGGTCAGGTGGGTCAATATGAACTATAGATTAAAGGTTTGATCTCCATGTTTGATTCCCTGAAGTTGATAACTACTGTGATTATGAAATAAATGGTTCTTTTTCTTAGGAAATAGACTGAGGTGTTCGGGAGTCAAGAACTGGGATAAAGCACTTTCCTTGAAAATATTTGGGTTTTTAGAAAAGGCATCACATGCAGCTTGTGTGTGCTGAGCATGCTGTTTGTGCGCCTGCACACGCACAGCTAGCGAGCACGCACAGGAGAAGCGCATGGGGTAGGGTGGCCACGGCAGGTACGCCCAGGTGCGGGGCTGTGAGAGTTACTGACAGGTGCCACATGGGTGCCGCAGGGTGCTGCGGGCACTTTGCTGGAGGTTCAAAATCATTTCTAAATAAGAAGTTAACTTATAAATAAAGATAATGGTTCAAAAAAAGCATTTGACTCTAGGATTTAAACAAAGTATATAATCAATATAAATATATCTTATCAAGCTCCATGCAGATGCACACCGAGCTGCGCCCACACAGCTGGGCGGTTCCTGGGGTGCACCGTGCAGTCAGGGTTTGCCTAGCCTCACGGTGCCGGCTGGCCTCGAGGCCTGGTGTGGTTGTCCCTGTCTCTCCCAAAGATCAGTGAAGTTTCCTTAATATACAAAAGAAGGGCAAAGATGCATGAGATGTGTAGTTCAAGGTTGGATGTTCCTGTGATAACGCCAAGAGTCGGTGAGGGGAGGAGGGCACCCACGTTTCCTGGGCCCCGACTCCAAACACAGGTACCACTTTCAGCCCCCCTAAGCCACCTTCAGAAGGTGGTGTCACTGTCCACGTTTCATGACATCCCTGCGTGGCACCACCATTAAAAGCCAGAGCCCGAGTGACCCCACTCCACCCTCCATGGTCCTGCATGAACAAGAGCCACTAAAGGAGCCCGCTCTCCTCACACTCACGACAGCCCCAACGTGGCAGGTAAGCTCTTGCCTTGACCCATCGCCAAAGCAGGGTCCTTTGGACGTCAAAAAATCCCGTCCACAAGGGAGGCTGTGGCCACTGCTCATCCTCTCAGTAGGTATGAATCTGTCACAAACGTTCTGGAACCAAAGCCATCCAAAGGTGAACTGCTGCAGGCAGATTCTTAGGCTGTGGCTGGGGCGGGGAAGTCTGCACCTGCCATATTGATAAGTGTCCTCCAAGAAGACTTTTTCTCTGACCTGGCATGAGCCCTGGGCCCAGAACAGAACTTGGTTTTGCTTCTCTGGAATCCAATTACCAGTTCAACTTGTTTAAAACTAGGCCACATCAACACTCAGACTAAGGCCATGTGTTTGCACTACTCTCAATGGAAACCAGGCTCCAGGCCGACAGCAGAGAGCCCCTCCATCCTCCACGCTGACGGGAACATTCCTGACACGGGTCATGAAATAAAATCAGAGCCAAAGGAGATTCAGACTGGAAAACTGTTTTTTAATTTTAAGGTAAGTTCCCACGAAATCTTGTATTGGTTTTGTAAGTTTCCAGTTGGGCTTCCATTAACCTCTGAGAAAGCAAGGTTGTCACCACAGGGTTCATCATAAACAGAGCTGGCGAAGTGACCCGGCAGCCCGCCTTCGCACGCTGCTCGTGGGTCCAGCAGACCAGCTCCAGGAAGGCAGGCCGGCACGGGAGGGACTACCAGGATCTGCTCTTACAAAGTCTTTGAAGTTCTCAGTGCTCAGTGACTTCTTTTAGAGACAGACGTAGCTTTTAAAAACAGATACGCGTTTCATATTTTCTGCACTTTTTCTCTTCCTGCATAACTGATCAGCTTGGGAAGATTGTCAAAAATCTAAATTCCCATTAGATCATGACCATAAGGGCACAGAGAAGGAAATGATATTCTAACTCTTTATTCGGTATAAAGCAACAGTTAAATCAAACTTCCAAGGGAAACTGGCACAAGGTTTACAAGGACAAATGGTCCTTGAGGTAAAGAACCTTAGCCCAGGACACAGCCATTCCACTCCCAGGAATGGAGCCACAGACTGAAAATCCGTCCACGCAGAAGATGCGTCCATGACTGTCCACAGCAGCTCTGCTCACAAAAGCCAAAGAGAAGAAACGATTCCAACAACCCGAACCCCAACCGGAACCCGAGCCCTTTGGCCAACAAAAGGGGCTGTATCCACTAAATGAATGGAGTACTGCCCTGTGCGACGGTTGATGGATCCATGGGGGAACCTCGAAAGCTCACTCATGGAAGAGCCAGACACAAGGACCACATGCTGTGCGAGTCCAGCTGGGTGGACTATTTAGAATCTACAGTGACCAAAGTGGATGGRTTTCTCTACATACAGGAAGGAGGAGAAATTGGGAGTAACTGCCAATGAGTACAGGGTTTCTTTCAGGGGTGATAAAAATGTTTTTAGATCCGATGGTAGTGATAGGTGCACAACTGTGAGTATATTGAAACCACTGACTTATACGTGTAAAAAGGACAAGTTTTATGATATGTAAATCTCATCTTAATAAAGCCGCAACTAAAACGTAGACAGCAGTAGCGGGAGCTGTGGCRCCCTGTGAAGTCCAGGCAGGAGTAAAGGAGGAGCTTTTATAGAGGGGAAAAGAAAAGTCTCGGCCCTCCTCCTCCTCCCTATGTTCCCGAGTTACTCAGACCTAAAGTCACCATAGGGCAGAGGAAAGTGGTGTCTGCCTGCCGGGGAGCCACAGGGACCAGAGCGCCAAGCACCCCCCGGGGGGAGCGCTGGGGTGAAGTGAGGGATGAGCCACCAAGGGAGGGTGACCGAATGAGCAAATGCACTCAGGACCACAAAAGCCAAGCGTCTGCTCTGTGAGAGGGCAGGGACCGCCACTCAGGAGAGAAAGCCGAGGCGGGCAGCGCCGGGTGGTGTGAACTCTGGGTTTTCAACACCAGAGGAAGACTGGCCCAGAAAACACGTGGACAGGGACGTATGTACAAGCTGGGAGGCAAATGGAGGCCCAGAGCTCTACCACTGAGAGGCCGGGGACGGCAGCACCCCAGAGCATGGGCCACCCCAGGCCCAGATCCCGGCTCCACGCTCTTTCCTTGAGAGGAGCCAGAGCCCTTTGGAAAAGGTGGGTGATTCTAGACCAAAGCAAGGGAAGTGAAGATGAGCTTAGAGTATCCCAAAACAAAGAAAAGCCCAAGGAATGCTGAGGACCTGTCAAAGGACACAGAGACCAGACAAAAGGGGGCCCAACCGGCCAGATTAAGGACAATTTCAACATTACAATAATTAAAGTAAGACACCCACAACTCACGCACTAAGAAACCTCGAATCCCTGCAGATATTTAAACCACAAATGAATCAGCTAGATGTCAGATGAGCAGGGGAATACTGACTCATTTCACAGAGAATCGGCTCCACAGTGCATGCCACGGAGAAGCCTGCCAGACCCCAGCCTCACCAGGTGRCCCAAGTGAACGTCAGCAGGGTGGGACGGACCGTGCCAAGGCAGCCTGGCCGTGCCAGAGACCYGAGCTGCATCTGGGCCAGATGAACACAGGCTGGGACTTTTAAGCAAAGGTGGTCTGCAGTCCTCAAAACGTTAAGGTCCAGATGGTCAAGGAAGGGCTGAAGGCCGAGCTAGGCAGAGGGGCCTGGAGGGGCAGGAACCACACGTCTCTCGTGATTCTGACCTGGATCCCACAGGGTGTTTCTGGAATTGCCAAAGCCTGACTGGGCCCCAGGGCTGAGGTGGGAGCCGTGAGTCATAGGGACTGCTCTATTTTGAAGGTTGGATTATGGCTGTTAGAGGTCCTAGCTTGAAGTAAATATTAATATATTTAGAAGTAATGGAATATTTAGAAAAAGATTGTTTAGAAAAAGATTGTTCTTTGCACTCTACAAAGTTACTTCTGTAACTTTGCAATTGCTTAGAATAAATGACAAAGCAGAGAAGTTGCCACAGAGAAAACTCAGACCAGCCTTCCACAGAAAATGACTGTGAACTCTATTCAAAGTACAAAATAATAAAACTATGTAAAGATAAGAGTTAAACTGAGAAATGAGCCATTGGCCACTGAAGCAAGACAGAATTTGCAAGTTAACTGTCTATGAAAACAAAAGTATCAATAGTCTTCAGCAGAATATAACAGAATCCAGAGTCTCCACAACACACCATTCATAATGCTTAGCACTATACTGTCTAGTACACAGATCTAGCCACCATTAGCTACATAGCATTTGAAATGGGGCCAGCATTACTGATTAGCTGAACTCCTTTGCTTTATTTATGTTAATTAATTCTTTTTATAGTACTGAGAATTGAACCAGGGCCACATGCATGGTAGGCAAACATTCTGCCACTGAGCTACACCCCAGTCCTTTTTTAAGATTTTACTTTAAGACAGTATCTCATTAAGTTGCTGAGGCTAGCCTCAAACTTGCAACTCTCCTGTGTCAGCCTCCCAAGTCACTGGGATTCATGTTAATTAATTTAAATTTTTTAAATGATATCAATTCAGTTATTGGAAGATACTTGATATGTCTGGAACAACCAGGTATGTGAACCTAGTATTTCAACTATACATTTTATTAAATCAAAATATAAATCAAGTTTTGCCAGTAGAAATTTAGTGTCAGAATTGAAGTCTGCTGTAAGTGTAAAGTGTGTATTCACCATGTTTGAACACTAAGTAACGCTTGAAACATGAAAAGAATGTAAAATATTAGCAACTTCTCAGTGACTATATACTGACATGAAATATTTTAAATATATTTGGTTGAATAAAATTATTATTAAAATTAATTTTACTTATCTTTTAATGTGGCTACTAGAAATTTAAAATTGCGTATGTAGCTCACGTACTTCTATTGGACAGCTCTTGTTTGGGATATTATCCAAATACGTTCAGATATGAACACCCAGACCCACTCTGAGAGAGCAGCCTGTGAGATGCACACACAAGGACTTCAAGGCAGCTATTTCAACTATGTTCAATCAGTTAAGAGAAATATGCTCATAACTGAGGAAAGTAGGAAATTAAGCAAGTACAGAGAAATCATAAAAAGGAATCAAAAAGAAATTCTAGAATGTCTGAAAAAAATCACAGATTCACTGACTGGGCTTAATAGCAGAATGGAGAGAACAAGAGGTGTCTGTGGACTGAGGACAGATTAATAGACGTTATCCAACCTGGAAAACAGAGTGAAGTACTGGAAAAATAAAGAGAGCCTGGGAGACAGCGGGGCCACATCAAACGCCCCAAAGAGAAAATGGGGCACGAAAACCAGCTGAGGAGACGCGGCTGGAAAACCCCCAGTTCAGAAAGGGACAAAGCTCAAGGGCAGAGGAAGCCGTGAGGTTCAGGTGGACTTTGGGTGGAGCTCTTTGTGCTCACATTCCCCTCCTTCCGMGGGACAAGAGGTAGGAACACTGGGGGGTGCACAGCAAAGTCCAAACTGAAGCAGGCTTTTTAAGTACTAGGAAGTAGCGTGAAACCAGATGGACTAGGAATGAAGGGAAGGAGGAGGAAAGTGCACGTCTCCATGTGTACATGTGCGCTTGTGCACACACACGTGCACACATGTGCCAGGGCCCTGGGTGTGCAAAGTCAGCTGAGTTGGAAGGAAACTATTCCAGCCCAAGGTTCCCACTCTTAGATTTGCTATTTTGAGTCTTACAAGCCCATCTTGAGAATGTTTAATTCCTACTGTGTTTCAAGTTCCTTTTCTAGGGCCCCAGGATCACCCCTGGACCACGCCATTGGTAGGCCCAAGGGCCCTGGTCCTCCCCACGCCACCCAAGTCCACCCTGCTGCAAACCCTTCCCTGGCTCCCTGCGGCCTCACAAAGCCTGCTCGCAGCTGGCCCTCAGAGCCACACCAGGTCCACGGCCTTGACTTCTAACGTAGCAGTGCCACCCAGATCCCTGGACGAGCAAGAGGCTGAGGCAGGCCCCTCTGCTCCCCATTTGGCCTTTCCCCTCCCCGCTCCTCTGCGAATCTCCAGTCCAAACCAGTCAAAACTAAGTTAAGTACCTGCTCCAGAGTGGCTTTCCCAGACACCCAGCCCCAGCTAGAGACAGCTGTCCTCCCCCAGCCCCCAAACTCCCTGGACTGGCCCTGCCTGGCCTCGCCGCACTCTACTTGTCTCACTGGACCACAGCAGTTCCAAGGCGGGGCCGTGTCTCGGTTCCTGCACCTCCAGTCCAGCATCGGCTACGGCAGTTAGAAGATGCCCCGTGACTGATGACAGAAGAAACACCAAAACACTAAGTTCCAAAATGTAAGTTGACCCAATACTTCTATGTAGAAGAAAGAAAGAAAGAAAGAAAAAGAAAGAAAGAAAGAAAGAAAGAAAGAAAGAAAGAAAGAAAGAAAGAAAGAAAGAAAGAAAGAAAGAAAAAATGGCTGACACACTCCTACCTCCAAAATGTGACCAAGCAAATGTGGATCGTGGTCCGCCAAAGTGACCTCGTCTTAAATAAGTGAATTGTAAAAAGTCAACACAACTTCAACTTATCACTGGGGAGAAAGTCAGAATAAGCCCTGTGCCCCTGACCCCCGGCAGCTGTCCCAGAAGCCACCTGCTCTATAGCTACGTGCGCACCGTACCTGAGCCAGCACCTCTTGAAACTGCTCCCTGGTGAGCGGCAGCAGGAAGGCCGCGATGGTCCTCCTCAGCTCACTCTTGGACACAGTCAGGTTCTGACCAGTGTCGAGCAGCTGAAAGGCTTTTTTCAATTCGTCCCTTTTATCGGTAATTTTTTGAAATAAAATCCGTTTAACATCTAAGAAGGACAGTATTGGATTTGCAACTGTTGTGGCTAAAAAAGAGATACAGCTATTTGTTAAACCCGTTTAAAGCTAAGATTCTAAATAAAAACTACTGCACTGTTTTAACAAACCAAAGAGTAGCTCTTGTACTATGTTTAGATTTACACGTCTGATCATTCGGTGGCTTGTAATGGAAAGTCTAGTCATTTTTCACCTCTAAGTCAGTCAATGAAGGATGACAGTAATAACATTAGTAAGACCAAAAAAAAAAAAAGGCAAATATACTCTATGAAGGACACGAGATGTTGGGGCATCGGGTGTTGAAGAAACAAGGAGAAATGAAGGATGATTCTTAGCACCGTCCTTGAGGACCTACATCGGTGATGATGCCACTGGCTGAACAGAAGGCCTGGGGCAGACTGGAGATTGTCTGTCCAGCTCATGTTTGAGATGTTTGCAGGGCAAGGGGCGAGCAGAAAGCCACCCCAGCAACTGAGCATGTGGCTTGGGCCTGGTGGGGATGGAGCCAGGGGACCCACTTCAGGAGAAAACAGACTGGGAGAAGGGGAGTAGGCACAGAGCCTGAGGGACAGGGAGCTGAAGTCTCCCCTGAGACTCCCCAGGACGTGGAACGTCACTTTGACTCTCAGAAGCAGCTGGTTTACACACAGGAGCTGTACGATGCTATTCCCCCTCTACCCCGCCATTGTCACCGGGGTCCCTCTTGTTMACGTACCCCTCCATCTGAAATCTTTCTTCAGACTTTGTGTGTATATTTTTAGCTGCTTTCCAAGAAGCCCCAACTTTGCACTCAATAATTATGATTTTAAAGTAACAGAAAACATTTACTTGAAACTTTGAAATTACGTGAAGGAAAACTTGTTCTCTCACATGTCTAATGCAGGAAGATGAAAGCAGAACCAAACCTGCGTAACGTGCTGGTGGGAGTATAAGTGGATGTCATCTTTCTGGAGGGCAATTTGATAAAATTTTCTACATCCGTTTAGGATCTAGAAAGTCATAACAGACTGTCATTTTCGCCCTAACAATGAGAACAAGTAGAATAAGCTAAAAATATACATAGTTCAAAAACCCATCAGAGATATGAGACTGCAAAGAAACTAAATTCCAAAAGCACAAGCCACTCCTCAGTCATCCAGAGGATAACACCTTCTGTCCCTGCAGGGCAGACAAGGGAAGCAAACCCAGTATTTAGTGGTCACGTGTGGACAGGTGGGTGGATTAGAATTGCAGGGCTGAGGTCAAGCGCACACCAGAGACTGGTATGTGACAATATATACCTCAAGGCCCACAGTGAAGCCAGATTTAAAGTTAGGTAGTCAGTGTAGTTAGGTAAATCGGGTCTAATAYCGAGTGAAATCTAAAATGGAGGCCATGCTGGGAATGACTCAGGGAAAACAGGACAACTCATGGARTGTTAATRAAGTTCCGAAAAGGCCCTAGGCCAAAGTCCACCTGGAAGAAATGTTAATGAGCAGCCCCCAACAGATTTGAAGACAGCCCATCCCAAAGAAATGTTAATGAACAGCAAACTTGACTGGGAAATGCCCAGATTACTTCTTTGGCCCACCTGTGTCCCACCCCTCGGGCCTTCCAACCTACATTCCATTACTGGAAGAACTATAAAAAGGGGAACACATTGCCCGCTAACTGGATTCCACCTTCTGGGTCCCCTTCTTCCTCCGGGAGAAGTCTTTTCTTCTGTCCTTTAATAAATTTCTAATCTCTACTCTGGCCTTGCCTCGGCGTGCTTCTTTGGTGTTATTCTTCAACATCGGGGAGCAAGAACTCGTCACCGGTCAACAGCGGTAACAACAGGATGTACACAAGCCCAAGGCAGCTGAACACAGAGGCCAAGGACAGGAAGAGGTGAGCTGAATCTCTGAACACATGGCCCTCTGCTGAGTGAACATTGGTGGCTGCTGCATAAAGGAAGCAGGGCCACAGAGGGACAGAGATCTCTTGCTGTGTGAAAGCAAGGTCAGAGCTGGTGAGCAAAGAGAACTCCCAGGAACCAACCCTCCCCTGGAAACGGCAGGAAGGCTGAGGAGCAGACACCAAGCTGGCAGATGAGCTGTAAAACAGCGCTCTCCGGGGTCTCCTCAGTGTTCAGCTCTCAGGCCTGCTGAAGGGAAGAAGGTGAAACCAGGCACGACCTAAATCCAACAAAACTGCAGCAAAAGCAAGACACACTTCAGCGTAGGGATCACAGTGCTGAGCCCGCCCACCTCACTGACTGCTCGAGAAGAGGGGAGCCGTCTCTTTCTATTGGTATCACTTACTTCCATTTCTACTGAATTTTATACAAATGCCTTGCATTATCTTTTTAAACTTCAAGATAAATGAACAAGAAAATATAACCTAATCAAGAGCAAAACCAGTCACCAGAAAAAGACCCACAGAGAAAACAAATACAGAAATGATCAAGTATTTCAGAAATGCTGGGCACCGTGGTGCACACCTATAATCTCAGTGGCTCAGGAGACTGAGGCAGGAGGATCGTGAGTTCCAAGCCAGCCTCAGCAAAAGTGAGACTCTAAGCAACTCAGCAAGACCCTGTCTCTAAGTAAAATACAAAATAGGGCTGGGGATGTGGCTCAATGGTCTACTGCCCCTGAGTTCAACCCCCAGTACCCCCCCCCCAAAATGAGAAAAATGCTAAAGAGATTAAAGAAAAAAGTTAAAAATATGTGAACTTATGGAAGGTTTCAGTATAGACGTGGAAACTTTTTAAAGATTGTATGAAAATATTAGAAATTAAGAACTCAGTCTCAGATGGGCAGAACTCACGCATGCTTGCTTAGCAGCCGACTGCACATGGTAGAGGGATGAACTGATGGAGGTGAAATCTGGTCCACATAAATAATCCCAAATGAAACACAAAGACAGCAGCATTTTAAAAGAAACAGTATCTAGCATTAGTTGTACTTAATACGGCATATCATGCAAATTGCGCAGGTAGGTCCCTACAGACCTGCACAGCCCAACGGCTGACATGCCTCCGAGGGACGGCGGCCCGGGGAGAGACATGGGCGTCACTCCAGCACTGCACTGTCTGGGCTCAAGTTCTGACCCAGCCACTTAAGAGCTATTTAGCTTTTGTGAAAGTGACTTAATCCATCCATGTCTCAGTTTCCCACATAGGAAGTTACCACAAATACACCTCAATTCGTGGGGTTACTATGGTGGTTAAACATCSTGCAAAGCTTTGCCCATGCCTGGGGTGTAGAAGGATATCAACTACTAGGGTTTCTATTTGCCTATGATACTCACTTGAAGAAGAAGGTCTGAACATATTTTGGAAACCATTCTTTGAATATACTCTACCAGGTGAAGAATGGGGTCTTGAAGATGTGTATTTTCGGGGGTGAGGACAGAAAGATTGCCAATTTGGTATAATCGCCATTTTGTGCGTTAAATCCCTGTGACAAAAGAGAACAAGTTACATTATCTTAAAGCATCAATTATAAATGTGACCACTTCCTGTCTATTCCCTTTCTAAAGGACAGCTGGAGAGTCTCAAAATGCTGCTCGTCGTGATCTGCTTCTGCTGCTTCAAAGGCTGCACTTAAGATGAACACAAAACCATGATTTTTAACTCCCTGTTTTTAGCAGGTCCCATAAACTTCTAAACTGGAACAATCAATAGGACAACCGTGACTGACTTCCTCAGTGGACAGTCAGGAGTAGGAATCTGAGTTCTCTGAGTTCTCATGAAGGGTCTGCTGCAAACAAACACACAGTCAGAGGCAGAGCTGGGGTAACTGCGGCAAAAATGGTGAAGGGAGGACCCCTGAAGGCCTCTCCCCCGTAAGACAAAGGAGAACCAGCAAACACCACCAGAATCCATTTTCAGAATGCTGGAAACAACCCAAAGCTCAGAGCAAACTGGGAGATTGTATTCACGAAAAACAGCTAAGTCTCAGGATGAAGAGCAGGTGTAGCATTCAAACAGCCCGACTCCCTCTCCTGTTGCCCGCCCACCCCAACACTGGGGCTCTTCCTTGAAAGCGCAGCCTGCATTCACAGGGAGACTCGGAGCCTCTCCGTCGCTGAGGGGGGCACAACAGGACTAGAACTTCTCCATGGCCCCATTAGCAGAAAATCACCATTGTTTGACCTCATGGCTTCCCAAAAGACCACACTCACAAGGCCGTCTTTATTTGCACTGATTCAGACCCTGCCCATGAGAACATCTTATTGTGAAGAGGCATTTGATAGAAAAATAAGAGGCAACTGTTACTTTAAATCATAGCTGCCTGAATGTGGCTAATGGAGCAAATAATCAGCTAACCAAAAGGCTTAAACGGAAAAACTGGAGGATGAGATGTACATCGGAGCTTTGAAAACCTTCCTCACATCCTTGGGAATCTAGAAGGCACCCACATGCGTAGAACTGAGAGCCTTCCTAAGGACATTAGACCTTTGCACTCAGGAAAGATCCAAGGAAGCCCCCGCTCTCACCTCTGGCTGACCTTAAGGGTCCGCAAAGCAGGGAGTGAAGGCTAAGGCAGAGTTGTCTAGCTAAGTCTTGGAAGAAATGCTCCAATGCACACAAAGAGCCCCCTGGCAAACACTGGGAGATATTATTCCCAGGCAGTTAAGGAAATTTCTCTCCGACCATGAGCTAACTCCTAAGCTGATGGGAGACTTTGAAGGCCACATAGACATGAATACAGACTTCACCAAGTAGGTTAGTGAACAACAAACAACAATAACAACAAAACATGGAAAGGGCTGAGGATATCATTTCCATAACTGCCACATCATATGACTTAAATGTCACATCTTGCTTCTGTGGCTCTGGTGAGGGAACGGCTCCAGCACACTAGGCAGGCACCACAAGCCCGTCCACATGAGGCCTTTGGCTGCAACCCCAGTCCTAAAATGTCATGTTTTCAGCAGAAATTCATGGTCCCAATACAGTTGCCTGATCCTTGATGAAGCTGCCAAAAACATACATTGAAGAAAAGACAGGRTTTAACAAATGGTGCTGGGAAAACTGATGATCATCCACATGCAGAAGAATGAGACTAGTCCCTTATCTCTCACCCTGAACAACAGTCGACTCAAAATGGACCAAAGACCTTGGATTAAATGAGAAACTATGCAATTCCCAGAAGGTAACGTGGGGTGAACACTCCAGCATATACACACAGGCAATGACTTTCTCAATAGAACCCCTAAAGCTCAGGAAATAATACCAAGAGTTAATAAATGAGAGGGCATCAAGTTAAAAGCTTCTGCACAGAAAAGGAAACAATTAGGAATGTGAAGAGAAAACCTACAGAATGGGAGAAAATCTTTGCTAGCTCCTCTTCTGACAGAAGACTAATGTCCAGAATATACAAAGAACTCAAAAAACTTAACACCAAAAAACCCAAATAACCCAATTAACAAATGGCCAAATGAACTAAATGGACACTTCTCAAAAGAACAAATACAGGGCTGGGGATACCGCTCAGCTGGGAGAGTGCCTCCTAGCTCGCACAAGGCCCTGGGTTCAATCCCCAACCCCACCCCAAAAAAGAATAAATACAAAGGATCAATAAATATGTGAAAAAATGTTCAACATCATTAGCAATTTCAGAAATGCAAATCAAAATTACCTTGACATTTCATCTCCCTCCAGTCAGAATGATAATCATTAAGAATACAAACAATAATAAATTCTGGAGAGGACGTGGAGAAAAAGGAACACTTTTACACTGTTGGGATTGTAAATTAGTACAACCACTATGGAATCAGTGCAAGGTTCCTCAATGAGGCTGGGAATGGAACCACCATTTGACCAAGATATCTCACTCCTTGATACTCATCCTAAAGAATCAAAGCCAGAACACTCTAATGATCCATGCACACCCATGTTATAGTACCACAATTCACAATAGCCAAACTATGGAACCAGCCTAGGTGTCCACCAATAAATGAATGGATAAAGAAAATGTTATATATATATATATATATATATATATATATATATATCACACAGACACATATACTTACATACATACACACACATACATACATATACACACACATAAATACACACACATATACACACA